GTCTTTCGTCTTCAGACCGTAACGTCAATGACAAACCCCCCAGAATTTAAAGACAAATTTTGTCACTGATGTTACGGTGTAATTACAGTATGCTATATTATTTTATTTATATACACTAGTGTTTGTTTAAATTCTGGGGGAGAGATAATAGAATCAATGCAAATTGTAATGTGAAACATTTCCAATAAACATGAAGAATTGTGTTAAAACACAGTTTAATGGTTTATTGACCTAAACAGATATAGGCTAAATGAGTGATGTAACATTATGACCTCGTGACCAACGTAGTGGAACAAATGACGAACAACAAAGGCAATAATATCCAATATTATTTCTCAGTTAAAAATTGTTTTTTGTCAGTTTTTTTTTTATATGGAACCACTTCATCCTAAAATATTGCTAATGGTAATTTTTCATGTCACGTGGCGAGGACTCCCATTCGACTAGAAGTTAATATGTTATCATGTGATTTTCGCACGTTAAATCCGCGTGAAGTTTGTGTGCTAAAGTTCTTAAAATGTTTACCGAATGAAATCAGATTTCTAAACACGTACACAGACACCGTTAAAACCCGGGGTTCGATTCCCCGCAGTGGACATCGCAGATAGTCCAATGTGGCTTTTCGCTGAAACAAACTAACAAAGCAAATACTACGCAGATAAGAACGTGGCCTAATATTTTTATAAGAATGTCGACGAATATTAAGATCAGAATTCGTAGGATATTCGTACTGCCTAAAACAGTGATCGTGAACGTGGGGTGCACGCCCCACAGGGGGGCAATTTGAAAATGCTACAGTAAGAAAAATTTTTCATTTGGGTGTGAAATTTTGGTAAATTTCTAAATTTTACATTGTATTATTATGCCTTTTCAACACCAAATTTGTTTTTATATTAAGGGGGCATCAAACTTTTTGAGGTGTCGAGGTGGGGCATGGAGCAAAAAAGGTTAAGTAATATATGTACAAGTAACTTTGAGATTAAGGATCAATTGAAATAAAAAAAAATATGTTTTTCAAACAGAATACGACACTAAAAATCGGGTTTCGATGCCCGTGCTGAGTAGAGCACAGATAGACCACTGTGTAGCTTTGCGATTAGTAATAACCAAACCGAGCAAACAACTAGAAATAAACAAAAATTCTCCAATTACAGTATAAAACCCGAAAAAAACAACACCAAACTTTTACTATACCTTAAATTGTAGATTAAATCACATAATTTAAATTCTTAGCGCATAAAAAAAGAAGAAGCAGAAATACAAGAATTATTAGAACAATAAAATAATGACATATTTTTGTCACTGAACGATAACCAACCAACAACTGCACCAGAAGCATTCTTTAGATACGGGGTGGAGGGGAAAACAATAACAAAAAAAAAACACGTATAATAATACACGACTTCGGTTTTCGATAATTATGTATTTCAATTACTATTCCAATTTATATGGAATGAGAGTTGGCGAGATGTTGTTGTGTACGAGATTAAGGATCTCGAGCCCCACCCGAATAAATGTCCTCTTTCTTAATGGCTGATAATATTCAACTAGTTATCAAAAGCAGTTATTTTAAAAGCGGTAAAATCCGTTCTCCACAAACAAATATATATATATACATAATTTAGATTTAAAAAAAAAAGATCAAAGAGATAACTAGTTTCTAAATATCAAGTGAAATAAATATATTAAACGAGGAGGAGCTTTCGGTAAAATCCCAAGAGAAACGTATCTCAATGTAGTTAGTTAAGTGTGAAAATGATGACCGGAAACACATTGTACATGAAATTGCTCAGGCACGTCAACAATGACACGTGCCGCATGAGCCTCGTGCGAAAATTTATTAATTCACGATACGCAGTCCTTTCGTAGGAAAAAAAGAAAGTTTTGACTGAAATATTTTTTTAATTGTGTAACAAAAACTCTGCTGACCCGAGACATGTGGCCTATATTGTATTATAATAACCAATAATGTATTTATTTATCATTCTGTTGTCGTTGAAATATTCACAATTACACGATAAGGTAGAAAGGACGCTTGTTTTTTTTTTTGTTTGTTTTTTTATAATTTCCTGAATCATTTTTATCTTCGCCTTCGTTTTTTTAAAAAAAAAAACTAATTAGGGTTTTGGATAAAGGTATATTAGCTTATTTTGCGGTTGGTTTAGGAAACAGAATATCATATCTGAATAACAATTGTATCTTTTAATTCCCAAACCGTAAGAAACAACAATTTCTACTGAGTTCCCAACTTATTTTTTAACGATTTCCCTAAATATTGTTAAAATCAAAAAGGACCTTGAAATATACAGTAACAGCATTTTTTTTGCATCTTTGTGTTGTAAAACGTATGTCTAGTCCCCCCCCCCGATGACGCAGTGGTAAGCTTGAGGATTTATAAAGTTGTAACATTATTACTCGGGGTTCGATCCCCGAGGCGGACAGAGAGCAACTAGCCCACTGTGCAGTTATGTGCAAAGACAGCAAAACAAAAACAACAATAACTCTTTTCAACACTTGTTCAACTGGTGCTCCTAGTCACAATGGAGAAACACCCCTCTCTTGAGAGACACTGCCATCAATACTTGAAATGTCTCATCAGATGCCAGCCATACTACAAAACCCCTTGGTTCTAGATTTCGAGGTCGTGTAATTATTCACCATCATTCTTTTTCTACTTTTCACGAAGTACTCAAAAGAGAACTTACCCCCTTTTTTTTTCAGTGTGGAGATAAACTTTCTATTGTTCATAAGACGTATGACGTCAACTTGAAAATCAACTCGTAATTGAGACGTAAATTGAGAAATGAAACAAAGTTTTCTTTCTACGTAAAAGATCATTACGACAACTTATTAAAGTTTTTCCTCACAAATCTAGAGAGATTGGTGCATCATCATGGGTAAAAAAAACTCCAGGTGTGAGTAAGTGCCTAAAAACATTGGACTTCAACATAGGAAGTCGCCGTAAAATATCAAAATCGCGTTATAACACACGTGAAGATAACAATACTAATGAGCAATAAAGCACAGTAAATATGAAACTGAAATAAAGTCAATACGTTTAAGAAGACAATTCACGTTCATCTTTATCAACAGACGTGGCCCATTATTAGAGTGCCGAACTGTAAATCCATTGTTAAGAGTCCCATTGCCGCAAAATCAAACTCCACATTTTGGGTCCCCTGGTGTGTTATTAGAATAACAGTTTAAATTACACTATTTGATTCACTGGCAATGGCCGTTTTTGACTAAATACCTTAATTCTAGTATGTCAGTCCAAAATTCGGGACTTTTATCACAGAAGTCCTTGTTTAGCGAAGGTTCGAATTAAACCAATAAAGATACAATGGGTGATCAAGATATAAACGAGGTAAAGCAGACCAAATAAAGAAAAATGAATTAAATTTATACTGTGCTAATGATTTAACTTGAATAGGTGGTGTGAGTGGGAATTTGTGTGTTTCAAATCTGTAACTACTGCACATTATGGAGTTATAACATTTAATTCGTATCGGATTGTGGCTTTGATGTATTTGTGAGTCGAGTAGAACGTCTGAAGTTATAGTTTGAATATTCCCTGACGTTAAGCTGTGAAAAATAAAATATTATAGTTTACTACTACAATAGTCGAGAAATATTTTGTGGGTCGAAACGTTTAGTTAGACCCTGAAGAAAGAAGTAAAGGAACAAACACTCAATACATAGGATTACAAAGTTATTAATAATACGATGATTTGTGACGTAACAATGGTCGGACATACTTGTTTTCATACGAGTGTAGAACTCTACAGGTTTCAGTTCCTAGATTCGAAACTAATAACATTTACATGGTAAACGCTTAAGTTAACAATGATGTTCCTGTGGTAGCACACTACAACTAACAATATGTTACCACGGTAACACACTATAACTATCAGAGGTGTTACTATGGTAACACACTATAACTATCAAAGGTGTTACCATGGGAAAACATTAGAACTAAAGAACTATCAAGATGTTACCGTGGTAACACGCTATGAACTATCAAAGGTGTTACTATGGTAACACACTATAACTATCAAAGGTGTTACCATGGGAAAACATTAGAACTAAAGAACTATCAAGATGTTACCATGGTAACACGCTATGAACTATCAAAGGTGTTACTATAGTAACACACTATAACTATCAAGGTGTTACCATGGTGTAACATTAGAACTAAAGAACTATCAAGATTTTACCATGGTAACACGCTATGAACTATCAAAGGTGTTACCATGGGAAAAGATTAGAACTAAAGAACTATCAAGATGTTACCATGGTAACACGCTATGAACTATCAAATGTGTTACTATGGTAACACACTATAACCATCTAGGTGTTACCATGGGGTAACATTAGGACTAAAGAACTATCAAGGTGTTACCATGGTAAAACACCTAAACTACTAAGATGGTACTATGGGAAAAATGAAGAAACAGTTATTGAAATTGGGCATTTATTTCCCACCGATTTTAAATGGAAGGAGAAGTTTTAAATGTGTTTTCCATATATTATCATCTACTGCAGTAACCTCTCATTTTAAAAACAATAAATCTTTGTTTTTTCCTCCAGATGTCGTACTTTCTAATGGGAATAAAATTTCGAAAGCCTCATCAAATAATTTCTTTAAACAAATAACTCTTTATTACCGGATCCAGCACTTGGTTGTTCACTTAACAAGATCAAAACAAAATCAAGCCTATAAAATATGCTCACAATAACGTACATAAACACAGATGTTTTTGATGATTTAGTTACTCTGCTTTTTTTTAAGGAAAATTTATTTCCAGTAGCTTCTACGTTGTTTATATTACATAACAATTGTATATCATACTTAAATAGCTGTAATAGTTTCGGTAAAACAATTTTAAAAAATCTTAAAAGTGAATTTTGAAGCTTTTAAAAAGTGAAAAACTGGTTTTAAAAAAAAACATAAAATGTTTATGAATTATGCTTAACTGTCTCTGAGAAGTTAAACTTACCAAAACTATTGTGAAACGCCTTTCTAATTCGTTCGGTTCCGGCATGGGCATTTTGATGTTGTCAACGCCAGAAAGTCTTTTTCGCATGGAAGGCGTGTTATCAAGGGATGACTGGGATGTCTGCGAGTTTCCCATTCTTACAGTTTAAAAAGTAGCGAATAAAATATAATATTGCGTTATGTTGCACGTTTAATAAACATGTTAACCTCTGACACATATCCTTTCGAAGCACCAAATTTCTAATATTTATCAGTTTATCGTTCCATGTTCTGTTCACGACTTCCTCACCCGGTGTCGCTCAAACCGAAAATGTTATTTCACTCGCACTTTTGAAACGTTGGTTCTTTCGGCAAACGTACAAACACTAGGGCGTCGGCGCTGACATTTTCACGGAGTCCTTAGTTAGGTTCAACCACTGAAAACTTGAACGAGGATGTTCCTTTCTGACGTCATTTATTATACTACCGCTAGATGACAGCACAAACAAAAGGTAGTCCAACTAGATTATAACCGACCTAACAGAAAACAAATAAATTAGACGTAGTTCGTAATTTTTAAAATTTGCTTCGCCCATGAAAGCTGGGGATACCAAACTTACTTTTATTACAAAACAAAAATCGTATTGTAATTATTTTTGTAATACCACTTATAAGTTGGCATTGTAAGAACATTTGAGTACTGATGACCAAAACGTAATTGTTGCTATTTAGTACATTTAAAGAATCCACTTGGCTAAAAGCACATGTTTGGCAAGCCGAAGTAAATTGTTTTTAGTATATTAATCAAATTCAATACGCTTTTTGAGGTCCCAGTAGGCCCGGCATGGTCAGGTGGTTAGGGCGATCGACTCGCAATCTGAGGATCGTGGGTTCGAATCCCCGTCACACCAAACATGCTTGCTCTTTCAGCCGTGGGGGCGTTATAATGTGACGGTCAATCCCACTATTCGTTAGTAAAAGAGTAGCCCAAGAGTTGGCGGTGGGTGGTGATGACTAGCTGCCTTCCCTCTAGTCTTACACTGCTAAATTAGGGACGGCTAGCGCAGATAGCCCTTATGTAGGTTTGCGCAAAATTCCAAAAACAAACAAGGTCCCAGTAAATAATTATTTATTCTGTGGGGGTGTAGTTTTACTTGCGAAATGTGTATATTCGTAACATCATCATGGTCGCTAAATTGATCTGAGTATTGAGTTTAAATTTAAAGTAAGCATAATTGAGTCAGTAAAGTGGAATTAAAAAAAAAGAAATTCCATTATAAGAAGTTCTTTCTGATCTATGATTGGTTTGGTTTGTTTTGGAATTTCGCGCAAAGCTACACGAGGGCTATCTGCGCTAGCCGTCCCTAATTTAGCAGTGTAAGACTAGAGGGAAGGCAGCTCGTCATCACCACCCACCGCCAACTCTTGGGCTACTCTTTTACCAACGAATAGTGGGATTGACCGTCACATTATAACGCCCCTACGGCTGAAAAGGCGAGCATGTTTGGTGTGACAGGGATTC